GACCAGTGAATGCATTAGCTACGTACATGAGACATGATAATATCTCTGTGACTAGTATGTTATTACAGAAAAATTTAAAAGGCCACAAATTTGTCACAGAAATTTTAATACATTCACAAAATTTAGCAACATTTAACAAATATCCATCATAAAAATACAAGATTTTCAGATATGCGTCCTTGAAATATTCTTTGACATATTCGCATTGTATAAGTTATATAAGGTAAATTCCTTTTACAAATAGTACGAAATGTGCATCACAAAATTTTAGGATATGTTATAATGATTGAAATTTATACCAAAGTAATAATGTTTGATGATATACAATTTAAAAATAAAACTTTTTGAAAAATATTGCAATCAAAAAACACTTTTCTTAAAAATGTGGACTGGAATACTCCTTGCTACAATTTTAATAATTTTTATACATTTTTTAAAAATATCTTAAAATATAGAATTAAAAATTTTTATTACCTAATTCAGTTTACTTATTTTGCTTTCATACATTCAATTACAATAATAAATTCTCTCATTGTGGTGTATGTCACAAAAGTCAACTAGTCTAATTATAGTAATACTTTTCTTAGTGTGTATTTTGGCATAAAATCACTGGACAGACAACAATTATAAACACAAATAAGAGGAAATACACAGGCCATAGACACCTTTTTTTTCAAACTTTGTACAATATTTTCTATATCTACATATTACACACACAAGTTAGGAATGGCATTTGACAAATATGTGGAAAGGTGATTTCTGTGACAGATTGGAGAAATTGAAAAGGGCTTTTTAGCATTTATGCAAAAAAACAAATACATTTTTTTATATTTTTTAATAGTTGTTTGATTTAAATTTGGCTTTACTTATGACTACACGATAAAACAAAAAGTAGCTAACAAAGACTTCAGTTTGACAGATAAAAAAAAAAAAAAAAAAAAAAAAAAAAATTACAAGAAGTATAATAATGTTGACTGGAATGACCCTTAATTAAGAATATTTTGATTTAATTTTCAGTTTGTGTTTTTCTTTTGTTTTTGTATGAATATGTTACCAGCAAAGTTTGAAATCCAGCACTGTACATAATGCCTAAAACAACCGGCAGCGTATATGAAACGATTCATATTTCACACATTTCCTAGGCATTCTGTAAAACGTTAAATGAGAAACCGGCAAACCAGAAATAAATCTCCGGTTCCTTTCGAATATCACGTGTATTTTAATTCATTCAATATTTCAAATATTCCGTTTCTGCTGTAAAATAAATTCTAAAATCAATCTGAAATACAAGCTCCCCCCCCAAAAAAAATGAATTCGGAAATTTTCCCCTTCTTTGGGAACTACTTCCTGTTCCTGACGTCGACAAGGGGCGGGGTGATTATGTTAATAATTATCATATTTCATACTTTGCCTAAAAACGTCAGGCATTATATACAATGCCTAGGCATTCTATAGAATGTCGGCGTTTCATACATTCCGTTTCTGCTGTAAAATAAATTCTAAAATCAATCTGAAAATATAAGCCCCCCCAAAAAAAATAAATTCGGAAAAACAATTTCCCACTTCTTTGGGAACTACTTCCTGTTCCTGACGTTGGCAAGGGGCGGGGTAATTATGTAATAATTATCATATTTCATACTTTGTCTAAAAACGTCCGGCATTATATACAATGCCTAGGCAGGCGTTTCATACATTCCGTTTCTGCTGTAAAATAAATTCTAAAATCAATCTGGAAATATAAGCCCCCCCCCCCAAAAAAAAATGAAAATGAATTCCGAAAAATAATTTCCCACTTCTTTGGGAACTACTTCCTGTTCCTGACGTCAACAAGGGGCAGGGTGATTATGTAATAATTATCATATTTCATAATTTGCCTAAAAAACTTCCGGCATTATATTCAACGCCTAGGCATTTTATAGAATGTTGGCGTTTCATACTTTGCCGATGACAAATATATTTCAGAAAATTCAAGACTTATAAGCTCAGATAATTAGTTTTAAAGGGCAGATAATTTTACTAATATTATTTCATATTTAAACTGCTGTTAATTACCAAAAGTTGAAAATTCCATTAAGGAATGCAGAACTAAGAAAACTATCTTAGATTTAAAAAATATTCTAACACAATTTTTATTCGCAGAAAAGCGTTTGTGTTCTATTTAATTAAATACCAAATTCTGACGTTTCAAATAAACGTAATAAACGTAACGGACTCTGCAAAAAAATTTTGGACAAATTAGTGTGCTCCGTTACGCTACGCTACTATGAATATATCATCCACTTGGCCGTACAAGTACTGCGCTGCGCGAATACAAGATGTTCAATTTATCTTCTACGCGCCTTGCGCCATAACCCGGTTCTCACAGGTTATCATTCGATTTTTATTAGTTTGTAATTGTTTAATTAACTGATTGAAGCAATAAATGCATTTCATAATATTTAAATATTAATTTTATTTTTAAAAATATATGTGATTTACATGAATTAAAGTATATTAATTTACTGCTATAAATGAAAGTTGTTTTTTAAGTCATATATTACGTATTTGGCATAGAATCGTTTGGTTTTTTACAAGATGTGACCGAAAATTTCGTCGAATGATTACAGAAATCTGACAGGTAAAATATTTGAAGAGGTATATCTTAGTGGTTTTCAAAGTAATCCTTCATAACTGTTCATAACCATGTGGCGATATCTTCCGTCCTTAAGGCCTTCGGTCGTCATAGCAATTTGGATGTATGAAATGCTATTTTCCTATAATTGTTAGAAACATCTGGAGAAGTCTTCTATTTGTATCGTTTTCTGTTTCGTTGCCACAATAGCTTATATATGTTAAATGCCATTTTCTTATAAATGTAAGAGTAGAGAAGTTTGTGTAAATCGCGCTGTTTTTAGTTCCTTCGTCACAGCAGTTTGGATGTGTGATATGTCACTTTGGTGTATTTATTTGGTGGAAATATCTGGAGAAGTCTTCCATTCACAGTGCTTTTAATTGCCTCGTTGCAACAACTAGGATGTATGAAATCTTGGAAAATATGCGCCATTTCAGTCCAAATTCCTTGGCAAGAGAAAGAACTACGTTTCGGGAAGAGAGCAGTGCATGATCGGTATTATAATATTGTGGATTTCCTTTGTGGTTTTATCCAATCTGAAATAGAATTTCATAGTGATTTTTCTATATTATGCTTTGCTGTAGCAACATGCACCAGAAGTTATCACTGCAAGGGACACCTGCCAAAAATGTTGAAGCATGTTTGCAGATGTTACCTGTGATACGGAAGAACTCTTCTTCCATTTCGCCGAACTACCAGGCTCCAAGCGGTAAAGTCGCTGAACGCTGGTAGTTCGGTACGAGGTTCGAATCCCGCGAACGGGCTGGCTGCACGGGCGTTTTCGTAGTTTTTCCCATGTGTAACGTGAATACGAGCCAGTTTCCCTTAGAAAGTCCTCCACGAAGGCATCCCTTCTCTTAGGCAGATAGCCCTAGAGGCTTTGCCATAATCACACACACCAAGCGGTAAAACCGCTGAACACCGATAGTTCCGAGATGGGTTCGATTCCAAGAGAGCTGGCTGGCTGCATAGCCGTTTTCGTGGTTTTCGTCAAGTGCAACAACTTATCAATTCTTTATTTTTGCACAGATATCACAAGCTTGCATTTCATCACTACAAGACCTTCTTCAATAATTTAATTTAAATCTCGCTTCCTTAATTCCCCTTACTCCCTTCCTTTGCTCTATTTCTGTCCCTTTAAATCCTCATCTAATAATTTCTCCGTCTTTTTCACAGTTAACTTTCCTCACGGTTCTTTTCCGCTCCAGTAGCTGCTCCTATTCTCCTCTCGCCACGGGCGGTCGGAGAACTTTTCGCCTTCCTGAATAGACTCTCCCCCCCCCTCCTCTTCGCTCCTTCTTCCCTGGATTCAGTTTTAGTCGTAAGACTCTTCCCCCCCTCGCTCACCCCCAAGGTGCGGTAATATTAGGTAATACGGACCCACTGCGGCTGTCCGTATTACCTAATATTACCTTTCCCAAGCCCTGGAAACTTATGTTTCTCGGCTGATTGTCTTCCAACCTTTCCGATTCCATAAACGCAATGCGTTCCGGAATTCGCCTCAACCAACTCCTTTCTCTCTTTCAATCTTAAATTACAAGTTGAAAGCAGAGAGAATTGCTCGTCCCATATGCGGACTCCTTATTCATTTCTTTCTATATAAACCCTTAATGGTTTGTTCAACTCTCCTTTAGCCATTGCTTTTTCTTATCCAACTCAGTTTCCTTATCGATGTTGTGGAGGTAATTGCATTAAGTTGCAAAGGTACTCCGGAAGTCAAACGCCTTGGGCCTTGGGCCGTGTGTATGAGTCAGTTTCCCTTAAAAGGTCCTCCACGAAGACAGATAGCCCTAGTCTGCTTTCTCATAATCAACTAAATCAACCACCTTCCATGTCGCCTGATGCCGACCAGCGGCCGAGCGGTAAAGACGCTGAACACTGTATGAAATGCTATTTTGCTAGTTCGGTCTGAGATTCGAATCCCGCGAACGGGCTGGATGCATGGGCGTTTTCGTGGTTTTCTCCATGTGTAACGTGTATACGAACCAGTTTCCCTTAGAAAGTCCTCCACGAAGGCATCCCTCCCTTTAGGCAGATAGCCCTCGTGTGCTTTGCCATAATTGAATAATCCCCCCATGTCGCCTGAAATAGAATAATTCTTATTATCGAATTAAGGAGTGGATGATCTATCGTACTTTCCGGCCACATCTTGTATATTGTTCAAATTAACAAACAGCGTATTACAATTAAATTAATCGGAAATTCCATTGGCATGCTGTAAATGCAATACATAAAATCTTTAAAATTTAATTTGTTATAAATATTTTATAAAAAATGTACTTTATAAAATGGATTTGAAAGTAAGTTATTGTTTTTTGAGTTTCACTTATGTGTTGTCGAATTGGCAAGCATGTAAATAAGCTCATGAAATAAGAAAAAATAGGCCATCTTTTTTTTTTTTTTTTTTTTACGTAAAGTTACAATTAAGAGTTTTAAAATTATTTCCTACAGTTAAATATTTCAATTTACTGAATGCTAAATAATTATAAGTATTGAATGTAGATGGATGGCGTAGCAAATTCTTACCCTTGTTACAAAAACACTTTAAATCAATTTATTAAAAGAAATTCTTGGAATATCATTTTAAATTAGTAGCATTGAAAAGCTGGACAGGATGTTGTAATATTCCAAGTAATTGAGTTTCTAACAAAATTCAAAATTGAACTGCGTACGGTTTAATCAACGGCAAATTTTTCATTTGTGTTGCGTAATCAAGAAAATATTTTTACTTGTTTATTTTGAAATAAGAATTTTATTATTACTATTTTTTATTATTTTTATTATTGTTTATTTTTCGAAAGTGTGAAAGTGTGTTTTTGTTTTATTATTGTGTGAAATATTACCTCTTGATTTTTGTAACTATATTTCTTTTGTTGTGTGGCAACAGCTCTTCTGTACTTCTTCGATATATTAATTTTTGGTCTGTGGCAGTGATTCTGTAATGCTTTGAAGTTAGAATACCGTTTTTGATTTTGTAGATGAAACATGTTTCAGAACGTTCTTTCTTTAAAAATATGTAAAATTAATGTTTTATTTATGAGCTCGGATTATACAATCGTTATTTTGTTTCAACAATTTGTACATCTTTGAGGTCCAATTTGTTTTTACACAAATTAATATTTTATTTTTACATTATGATGCTACTATTTCTGCAATAAAATTTCGACATAGATTTATGGATAAATAAGTGGATTTTTAATCCATAAATCAAGTGGATTTTTTAATTGGGACCATTAAAATGTAATGCCATATAAAATGTAAATGTAAGGCCAATAGTTAAACCACGGAAAGAGTTAAAATTTATTTAAAATATTCAAAATACAGCTAATATTTTTAAACGGTTTGTTTTCAGAATCGTGTAAAATTTTGGAGAAGAAAGTATTCATTTAAAAACCTAACATTAAGAGCTCTTAAATAATATTTTTAAACCCTAGAAATTTATTTAATATGCTTTGCTTTTTCGTTTTGCATGAAGATGTAATTAAGATGCAAATGGCTTTGATAACCTTCACATTCATATGAAAAATGCCAGTGATTATGATCTTAAATTAACAAAAGTTACAAAATTATTTCTGAAGTTATAAAAAAGAATATAAAAAAAGAAGAAAAGTTCTGATTTCTAGATATGTAATTCAGGTTAATTTGGGACATCTTTCAAAATGTTATTTGTGGTCATACAGAAATAAAATTTGCAAATCACAGAAATTAGCTTAACATACAGTAAGCTTATTTGAAAAATGGATGACAAAAAAGCTAAAAGAAAGAGGAAAAACAAAAACATCATTGAAAGATGTAAAAATAAAATTTGCTTAAAGCTGCTTTTTTAATGTTACTTGCTCAATTGCATTGTCCATTATTATACATAAGAGCTCCTGTGTTAAGAAAATAATGCAATCTGAAGTGGCAAGTTCTTGAAAAGTTTGTCCTGTAATTAAAATTTTATGTTTATTATGTAATTTAATTTAATCATCATAAAATTTTAAGAAATATCTTTCTTTGTATCCGCACTCTAATGGTAATATTTTCCGCATTTGTTCGCTAATTTTTCATCTATATTTATCTCTGTTTTTAAAGTTAGTTAAAATTTTCGATTTGTAGTATTTTTAATTGAAATCTTTGAAATATAATATCGTATATAACTAAATTTCCTGAAATCTTTGAAATATGTAACTAAATTTCGTATTTATTTAAGTTAAGATTGTCTTGCCCCTCTTTTGTCCGCTTAACTATTAATAAATAAATAATTTAAAAAAAACATTATGTGAGATATGCATACTATTTCGTTTTAAGTATTCTTATTTCATTAAGCTTTTTATTTTGATTTTGTCCGAATTAAAAGCTTAATCACACTTGCCTACTTTTGGGTAAAAAGTAATTTATTCTTAAACCTTCGTAGCATCGAAATAATTGTAATTCGTATTTACGTCTTTAATATCTTTTTGTTAACGTTATTTTATTGCTCTATAATTATGGAATAATTAAGCAGGTTTTATTATTTATCATATCGCGATACACAAATAATCTCATTCTCAATCATACATAAAATTGGCGAAACTCATTTTTGGTATCTTAAAAATCAGTTTTAAGATTCTTTACTGTGGAAAATCAGCTAGCAGCTTACATACGTATATTTGTAAGTTTCAACTTAATAGCGTGATTTTTATTCAAAAAATAAATAAATAAATAAATAAATAAATAAAGTTTAAACATGTATAAACGTATCAATACAAATGAAGGAAGAAAACTATTTATAGTTGTTTAAGGCTCTAATTACAAATGTGTGATAGTTCAATCAACATTTTGTGACCTGAGTTAGAACATTTTACAACTTTGAGTTATAAAACACAACAGAAATATAATTCATCCATATTCTCATACTTTGCATATTCTTAATTCTTTCACGTATAGATATGATTTTTAATTAATATAATTTACATTCATAAGAACGATATATATCTTTGTTATCTCTGGTAAGTCCCATTTTTTGATCATATGGCCGGCTTGTGCCGCCTACGAGGATAGGGGCTGTGTTCTTATAATAATAATAATATCTTTGTAATTTTAAATGACTAGATCTTGCTTACAGTTACCAACAACAGTTACAAATATAATAAATATTGGGTTATATCCAATTATAAATTTTAAAACAATGCAAAAATCAAATTTACAGAATAATATTATAATATATCTTTATAGTTTGCTACATCTGAAAGAGAAACTCTCGTCCACCTGATTTTGCAATAATCTCTACATATAATAAAAGGAAGAGTTTATGTGTGTGTGTGTGTGTGTGTATCTTTCGTTTGTTCTGCGCGTAAGTTAATAGATCCAGGGCTACGAAATTTGGTACATAGGGTGTGCATCTAGACAAGAACCAGTGCACCTCGATGCGATTTTTTTCAAAATTCGAATAATATATATATATATATATATATTTAATGTTTTTTGATGAAATCGCATCAGATCGATAATTCTCTCTCATTATATCAGGAACAATGACAAGCAGCCATTGTTGATGATATATCTTTGTTGCCATTTTTGCTGATATCAACACTGTTGCCACTCGGAAAAATGAGGGCGATAATTCTGTGCAGTATTTAAATTTAATGTTTCTCTTGGATACTTGACGTTTGTCGAAAGAAAAGTGATAAAATTACATCAGTGTATATTCACGTTTTCAGAAATTTTTCCTAGAAGATTCTTGAAAGAATTCTTTTTCTAGAAGATTCTTGAAAGTATAGTTCGGCCGCCTCATCCGCGACCATGAGCGCAAACATGCATGCGCCATTCGAATTATTCTCAAAATAGGGTGGAAGGATGGGGACTTTCTTTTCCTCCTGCACAGCTCTTTCCGGAGAAGAGAAGACCTTTCATGTCGCAGCAAGTAATACCGTCCCTTTTGGGCGAGTCTACGTGTTTTGGCAGAATGCCAACCAGGGTTGCGCTTGAGACGGTCAAACTACACCCCTCAGCCACCAAGAAAAAATGTCTGCATGCAAGATGAGCAAGTGATAGAGAACGTGGAGAATCATGATAGAGAAAGAACGTGAAAAAAAAATCGAAGAAAACAAAATCGAGACGAGAGAGTGATAGAACTTCTAGAACAGCAGCAAGGAAAAGGTCCAAAGAAAGTACAAGAAAATAATATTGAGTGCCAGATGAAGGCTGGCCGCATAGCGGCTAGTGCTTCATAAATGAAGTGTTTTATAAAATGATGCGAAATTGTTTTTTTGTTCGAAATGTACAGGATGTCCTTTCGAAAAACAATTTATTTGAAAAATTCGGCAAAAATTGGTATCTGAGTTAGTTTCAAGGACGTATACCGCTGATTTATTTATAGTTAGCTAGTTTACGTATTACAACGTCAATATCATGAAATGCTAAATGGCGGGAAAAGCACATGCATGAGATATTAATCTAGTAAAAGCTCAGACATGTATTTAAATGGGACCCAGCAAGAATAGTTAAGCAATACATTTGATACAATTTTCCCTGATACGTGGACTGTGCGTGGTGATTCTGAGATTTTGTAAAAGACAAAAATCACTCTGGTACAAAATTTCAAGCTATCCAAAATTTGAGCGTCGGAATTAAACTGCATTAACTTCCGTCCGTAATCTGTTTATGCTACTGGCAGCTTGGCATTCGACAAGAAATGATTTGTATTACATAAACGCGCATGTGGAAGTGCTCTAATTTTTGGTTATAAATGTAATATATTCTCTTATTGAATTTAGGAGCATTTAATTTCGTAAATTAACATATAAAAACGAGGTACTGTTCTGATTCAGACGATAGTTATTAAACATTCGCTTTAAAGGCATCCTTATAGTAAAAAGTCATCATGCACCGCTACGATCGTATGCAAAAACATTATGCTATTTGTCACTTGTCAAATATTCGTTTGTTACTTACTTGACTATAAATTGACTTGACTATGACTTGAAAGGCTATAAAGTTTTTCAAATATGAAATTTATTAATAATGATAAATCTTTTGGTACCAAGGATATACCGAGGACTGTTCTTATACCCTAACTTTATAATTCTGTTTTCACGAGTAGAGAAGAAGCAATTCGTTCCAAGATTCCTAAAATGGTAGTAAAATTTATTTAATGACAGATTAATTTGAAGCTATGTAAACAATCATTTAGAGATTTAATAATGTTTCTAATCCACACTTTGTTGCCTTCATTTACATATATTCAATACATACAGAAAGATTTAAAAGTGAATGTCTGAATTTTGTTCTCTTTCAGATGTAGCAAACCCTACACTAATAGCTACTATGATTTATTTTTTGTTATAACACTGTCTCTTGCTCTTTTAATCCAGCAAATAAATTATGCACATATTATATTTCAATGCACAGCTAAATTACTTTTAAAATAAATAATTTGTAACACAGTGATGCAGACTTTTGTAACAGATAGAGATAAAATTTGAATACGAGCATTAACGATAAGTTATTTGTTAATGAGAGCTTTAAACTTTTGGAAAGCATTCAACAATGCACTTGGAAGCACCACAACAATGCAAATTCGACAGTAAGCCATTTTCTGGAAAAGCACAAAAATTTGTTTATAGGTTCCACTGACTGAGAAATGAAGAATGCCACATCAACTACAGGAAAATCTTTGTTCCATTCATTCCTAGATATAAAAAATCAAATATATAATAATTCATGTATAGTAAATCTAAATTAATTACAATGCTATTTTTTCCAAGGATAGAAAGACTTTTTTCAGGGTGTAGGGTGTAGATCATATGTAATCGTATCATCAAATAAGCAGAAATTCGACCTGTGGTATCATATATAATCGACATAACTTCGAATATAACAAAATTTCTTAGCCGAAAACGAATCCATGTTGAAATAATTCATCCTGTAATCGATTTATATTCGACGAGAAGCGAGTAGGAAATAATGGATGAAACGGTAAATAAGTGTTTTTTAATATCACAATTTCATCCTCATTCTTCCTGTATTTTAGAACCGTATAAAATCCGACAAGATGATTTATATCCAAAAAATTAAATCATCCAAATTCATTGCTGTTGCTAGTGCTCATTTGTCTGACATACAGACCTATAGTCAGCCCATCCCCACAAATTTCTCGTGGCAAGGAGCGCAAGTTTAGGCCTGTCTTTGGCAACAGCCTTGAGCTCGAGATGATAATGTGATGTAGCTCAGTTCCGCCCCCAATTTTGATGGAGAGCACCCCAGCGGAACAGGTCCGAGAGTCTCCCACGCCTTTTCCCCTACCACCTCAACCTCTCGAGAGGACTTTCGGCTCGCCGAATATTTAGAGTGCCCTCATGCCGCACAGACACTATACATTTACACAAATTTCTGCCTTCTCCGGGATCCGAACCCGGGCCCTTCGGCACGACAGTCAACGACGCTAACCTCTATACCAGTTGGGCAGCATCCAAATTCAAAATGTGCAAAAGCAGCTACTTGGCAAAAAGTATTCGGCATATATTATCTGCATAATTTTTCTTTCAAGGTTTTTAAAATAGTGTTAGTTATCTGCACTGTAGATTACACGAGTTAATGTTTTCTGAAAATTATTCCACATATTTCATAATTTTATGATGGGGCCAGTCTAAATGCATAAATGGAAAAAGCATTGGCAGATAATGTTTTCAGTTTTGGCACCTTTATAAAAAATGAATAACGTGGAAATCGTGGTCATTAAAAATAAAAAACAAAAAAAATCATTTTGAAAATGAATAACATTAATGACAATCATGGTCATTAATAATAAAAAAACAAAAAAAATCATCTCGAAAATGAATAACAATGACAATCATGGTCATTAATAATAAAATACAAAAAAAAATCATCAACAATGGCAATCATGGTCAGTAATAAGAAAAAAATAATCATCTCGAAAATGAATAACCCTAATGACAATCATGGTCATTTATAATAAACAATAAAATCTTGAAAATGAATAACCCTAATAACAATCATAGTTATTAAGAGTAAAAAAAAAATCATTTCGAAGTATACTTACAAGGAGGTGGAGTTTGTTCATCTTTTGCATCTTTCTCTGTATCTGTGCTTTCTCCGGAAGTAATAGTTTTGCCATCTTTATCCTTAGCAGCTTTTGCCTTCAAACAAATTTTGAGTTAAATTCTGATTCTTTTTTTTTTTTTTAATAACAGTTCCATGAGAAAGAGAGTTCATATAATTTCTTACCTGTGGTTTGGGGGCCATGTCAGGAATTAATGTGATTTTTCCGATATTTTTCCTGTCATGTAATTTTTGCATGGCTTCTGCTACCTGGAAAAGTTTGATATGAATAAATAACATTAATATAATATAGTAAGAGAATCTCAGATTTTGGTAAGAAAATAAAGCTTTTTAAGCAATGCTACACTGTTCTTGTCTAACATCAAATGATATAAGTCTTTGTCAAGAAACAAATAATTACTTGAAGTAAATAAGTCTGAAGTAAAATTTGAAAGGAGGAGGATGTTTGTTGATTTAAAAGCACGACTAGCAATGCTTGAAATTAAGTATAGCTGAAAGCTTTTAGAATGCCCAGGGAGAGTTTGTTTTCAGGTAATTATTACCAAATTAATACAGGGTTCACATGAAACTGGGGAACATTGTGAAAATGTTTTGCAAATAAATACCAAAATCTGTTACTCTGAAATGGAGGTAAATTCATTAAGTTCATTTACATATTTCACAAAGCTCAATGGGTTTACATTTGCAAGTACACTACGAAAAAATAAATAATAATTTGAAAAGTTTCAGATTTTAAATTACGTCCAAAGGGGCGTTTTTTTTAACGTTTTGTGCGTTACCTTTATTTATTAAATATCATGCTCTTTGCACTTAAACCATAAAATTCAGTTCAATAGCAATGTCGCAAAATAATAATTTTAAAATGAGCATATCGTTAGAATTTCTGATATACAGATCCGCACGCTGGAGATAAAAAGGAGTTTGTTACTCAAAAATTCGTTAAATTTTTACAAAATATGAAATCGATCATAAAACAAATTCTAGATTTCAAATTTGGTGTTTCACATGGCCATATTCGTAGGAAGATTACGTCATTCAAAATTCGATGGCTCTATGTACCGTTGTTTTATTACAATGCGAGAAACAAATATCCTTGTGATGTACCAGCTTTTGTCCGGAATAAAAAATGGTGAAGAATCATAAATGTAGTCGTAGCTCAAATTATCAGACGATAAGTTTAAAAAACAGGATCCACTTATTATTGGTTAGGAGAAATAGCAGTTACAAAATCATATTTCCGGAGTAAATAAAAAAGAATTACTAATAACATTTTGTATGAAGTTTACTGCATCGTTATAATAAGAAAAAGCCTCCGATATTCTTTTGCGAGTCCTTTTATAGACTCTGGAAAGGCGGAGCTTCAAAGAAATGACGTCAAACTCGTCAGCCATTCCAGTTCGCTTTAAATATTTCCAGAACATTCTATAACTGTACGTGTACAAAACGTGGGAAAAACAATTTGACTACGGGGCTGTGGAGTTAATTCCACGAACTTTCAAATAAGAGACCGTCGCCATTAAAAAATGAAAAGAACATACAGTTAGAACTTTAAGTGTATTCTTGACTATGGAATTTTATTATTACATACATTTATGAAGATTCTTCATTATTTAATTTCTTTAATATAATAGAGGGATGTAGTATTTGGTGACAGCAGTTTGAAAAGTGAACCGACTTATCAAATTATCAATCTGATCTTGGGGGATATTACACCACTCAAAAAGCAATGCTCTCCGAAATTCCGGTAGACATGTAGGAGGAGGTTGACTGGCTGCAACTCGTCCGCCAAGCACGTCCCACGCGTGTTCTACTGGATTCAAGTCCGGTGAGAATGCTGGCCAGTCCATACAGGTGATATCCTCCGATTGAAGGCATTCGCTTACGATGTTTGCAAGGTGAGGACGGGCGTTGTCATCTATAAACACAAATTGTGCGCCCATGGCGCCCCGAAATAAACGTACACGTTGTTCCAGAATGACGTCCCGATAGATTTGGCTTGTCATGGTTCCAATTTGAACATGCAGGTCAGTTCTGGAACCCAGAATAATTCCACCCCAAACGAGCACTCCTGCACCACCGTGACGGTGTCGTTCAATGATGTTTTCTTGGTGGTAACGGGTACCTGGAGCTCTCCATATGAAAGTCCGGCGAGAATCAGACTGCAAGCTAAACCTGGACTCGTCGGAAAACATCATACAAGCCCACTGTTGCGGTGTCCACAATGCATGCTCTCTACTTCAGGCTAACTGCAAGCGACAGTGAGTTGCAGTAAGTGGAACGCATCTGACGGGTCAACGAGCATATAGACCAATCTGCCCTAAGCGTCTGTACACGGTCTGCCTTGAAATTGTCGTACCAGTGTCTGAAGAGAGCTGACGAGACAGGTCTGAGGCTGTGCTCCGCCTGTTTCTTTTGGCAGTAACTGCCAAATACCGGTCCTCATTCGGCGTTGTAACTCTGGGGCGACCTGTGCTGTAACGTCTACTCACATTACCATCATCTTGGAATCGTTGCCAAAGCCTGGAGATGACACTCTGGGCAATTCCAAGTTCGTCTGATACTTCCAGTTGGGTACGCCCACATTTCAGACGGCCGATAATTCTACCACGTAAAAAATCATCCAAATGCGTCCTTTGTGTCATAACTATTCGGTTATTGCACTGAAATGCTTATAAAGCGCCTGCGAACAATTTTTCTTCTTTGCCTGTATTCCTTATATAGCACTCTCTTACACTCTCGTCATTGTGACGTACCATCGGTGTCATCTGGTTACTTCCTGAAATTTGCATATGATTCTTGAAGATGTGTGTAGTGATTTTACAAGTGATATATTTATTTTAGAGTTCGATTTCTGCGTGACTCCAAATTATCCTTAATTTATGGACATGAGTGTATTTTAAATGAGAAATATCGTCTTCTGGTTTTAAATTTATTCTTCTTTCAAAATATCACATGGAAGCAAGCTGTGGATTGAAGGATATGTTTTTTTATGCTTTACGAAAAAAAAAAAAAAAAAAAAAAAAAAAAGTTCCTTAAAATGAAAACGTTATAAAAGCAGGGTATTAAAATTTCTAAATGCAAAATAAGTAACGTTATTAATCGGAAAGCGAAAAGTCGTCAATCATTACTTCAACATAGAAAGAAGACTTCAAATGAAGATCCGAAAAAGGTACGTACTGTTTCTAATGTTCCTAAAGTTAAATCGTTGTTAATAACAGAAAATCCACCGACGCAGAAATTAATTGCAGAGTGTTTAAATACATCTGCAGCAGAACAGTTTTGTGGAACGCAGAACAGTTCTGAACACAGAACACACAGTTCGTAGAACTCTAGATGAGAGCAGGAGGTAAATTGAATATATTTTGATCGACGACAGAGCACGGATTTGCCTAAATGACTACAACAAAGAAATATCTATTTATAACTGAAAACGAAGAGGGGAAAAAATGTACGAATCTGATTCTGTCGATGCAAAGGAAGTTTCAGTAAGGGGTTTATGTTTGTCGCAGGGTTCTTTTACAATGAGAAATTAAATATTATAAGAGCGGGAAAAAATGTTAAAGTACTATCAAGAGAAAGTTTTACGTTTGATATTTACAGGAGAAATCCCTTTTTTTAATCGCAATTATTTTTGAAGAGTGAAACATCATCAAGACAAAACAAAAAGTCAAAAAGTAGCACTGCATTCCTTGAAAATATGAAGACTGATACAGGTATTACATATATAATTTTTCCATGTAATTCCTGCAAAGTCTTCTGACGTTTCCCTTGGAGATTATTGTGCCTTTGGTCATTCGAAAAAAAACTCTAAGCGCACATTCACCAATGATTCATGGAAAGTAGGGGAAGTAGAAGTGGAATCAGTACCCTTTTTGGAAAATTTACGAAAAGCACTTCCATCATGAAATCTCAGTGCAGACTTATAGTTCAGAAAAATGGCTACCAGATCGAATATATATATTTTTACGAAATGCCCAGCCGCGGTAAGATAGCTTCCCCGAAAGGCGGGTTTAGGGTTGCCAGAAAATGGCAAGGAATGGCAGGGTCGCCATATTTGAAGTGAAATCGCCCATTTGGTGACATTTGGGACAAAATTTGCGATACGCCATAGACGAAATGGAGAACATTCTAGAATGAATTTCTGGCCCAGAATGTTCTTAAAGGCAGACCAAAAGCTATATAAACCCTGCCAGTGCGCGGGGTAGAGTTGGTCGTCGAGTGTATTGCGAGTTGGTGCATCGAGAGTATGCATCGTCGAGGCTATCGAGTGCATTGCGAGTTGTAGCGTGGAGAGTCTCGAGTGTACTTTGAGTTCCGAGAAAGACGGAACCGAATCGGGAGCTGTACTTTAGTGCTTTGCCGTGAAGTGCTTCACCGTTATAGCCGAAAGCCTGAAGGCTGTGTTGCTGATTGTTTCAGCCTGTTTGTCGTAGTTTTTTGACGACTGTAAACGTGTTTTAGGAGCTGCCCTGAGTAATACTGGCTAATAAATTGTGTTTCATTTTTCATCAAGTGTTGTGATTAATCATTCCAAATCTCTGAACCTGTAGAAACGCAACAATACATATATATAAATTTCATTACAAGCACTAATTAAACAACCCCCCAAATCATTCTAAAAGTATGTAAACTTCCTCTGTATATATGTTTGACAAACTTCAAGAAAATCGGGTTGGTAGAAGAGGTCAGAATTTAATTTCAAAATTTAATCCAAGCTGAGAAACCGAGTTAAATAATACTGGCAATAAAGGCAAAGGAAATTTAAAAAAAATTAATTCATGCAGGGGGAAGAGGGACATTTTCACGCTCATATGTGTGCGATCTTTTATTTTGAATTTCGTGTTTTTGTTCAGTGATGGTCGAAGAGATTGTATCAAAATTTAAAAATTAGGCTCATTAAATGCATCTGTGTACCTGGATTTTAACAATAAGTTTCGGTGCTATAATCTATTGAACAGTTAAGGAAACATCTTAAATTATAAAGATTATTATTATTTTGCTGCCATGTAGAATGATATTTTATTATCGGGAATAAAAAGTTTAAAAAGTTTTCTTTACTTACATCTTCAAAGGCCCATCCAGAATCGGTAACCACCTTTATTTTCTTCGATTCCCACAGTTTGAAGACTTTCGATACGACACCTCGAACATATTCGTGGCAACCTTGCTGATACAAAAGGTGACGCAGATGAAATCCAGCTAAAATTTTGTTTTCATCGAACAGCTTGATAGGACTAACTTTATCCACCTGCCACCACTGCAGAATAAACATATGGTTAAAAAAAAGAATTTCAGAACAAAAATTTTTTTAGTTATACATATTGATAATAAATCCCATTAATTATCCGTTAACTCTTAAAAATTTACGTTTAAAATCCAATCAAATTTGATCGTATACTGCGATCATCATGTAACCTGAGAAAAAAAAAATGGGACAGTTTCTATATCTCCCGTTCTACTGTGCCGATCGACGAAATTTAAATTCTTTTTTTCATGTCTCGAAAGCGCGACTTAGGCTATGTATTAGATTTAAATATAACATTGTTCTAATATAGGTATTTTGACGCAAAATCGGACATTTTTCTGAAATGACATGACAGCTTTTTCCATATTTCGATTCTACGACTCAAATTACGCCAAACTGCCAAGTTCTTCAAAAATTAGCTCTCAAAATCTTAGCTTCTCAATGTTGATTGAATTTGGTATATATTTATTAATCTCTCCTTTTTTTATAAACTTATTTGATTCTTCCTTTCCCATTTCGAAATTTAGGTTCATTCCAAATAAAATTCACCCATTTTCTATGATTTATTTTTAAAATTTGTACTTTTAGATAATTTTTATAAATTTTTCGAAAAAAAAATTGATTTATAATCTATACAATTTTTAACCGTCATCTTGAAGTAGATGCATTTCTAAGCATACCTGCGAAAAATTAAGAGTTTTCTGTTCAAAGTTTCCAAAGATATACGTAAGTTTATATATTGGCGCGTTTTGAAATTTGGCATAATTGTTGAAAGCGTTAAAAGTATCAAATGTGGTTTAGGCACTTTGTTAAAATTATTTGAAAGCAGGAACGATGTGGCTTTTTTCCCGCTCATGCACAATGTAAAAAAGGGAAAGGAAAATAGGTTGCCATATATTAAGAAGTTCGCCAAGTGAATTATTCTTGGCGGGCGCAAACTGAAAAAATACACCAAGATAAATTTTTGAATTCTTCCGGAAATTTCGCACCAAATTTTATAATAACCCTAATATTTAGGCATAATTTGAGTCGAAGAATCGAAATATGGTAAAAAATTGGTATGTCATTTCAGAAAAAACCGGTGTGCATTTCGAAGTTATAGAAATGCAATTTGCTGTAAAATGCACCGAGAAAGTTATTTATGAGAATTACCATGCAACTGACGTTTATGAGAATTATATGGGGAAGGCATAGCAGAATATTTAGTATTAGATGTAGCGGTTTTGAGTGGTGTAATGCAACTGGTATATATTCACCTGTTGTATTAGAAGACATAAGATTTATGAACTCTGATTATCCACTCCAGTTCTTCTTTTTGATGCACACGCCTGAGCTCACATGCTTTGCAGGTTTTTATGTGCTACTCGAAATATCTTCGCATCAGCTGTGCTTGAATTGATATTTGCTATGTGTTCACCTGCAGCTTTAAAGAATATAGGTCTTCTGGTGCTTGTGATCAGTCACTGTGATTTCGCTCGACAAAAATGTGTTTTCTTTTTATTGCTCAGAGCCACGTGTTACCGAGTTTTTCTTTATTTATCGGAACGGCTTTACTACATCAGTTGCAGTCGAATGAGTATTGATTTCTGTATTTACAATCTACTTCTTCAAAGAATACAATTTCTTTTGAGGCATAGTTTACTTAAAAAATAACCCTCTTTTTCGTGCGGCTTCTGTTACAAAGACTTGGAATGAAATGTAAGATGAATAGGAAACAGCTGTTGCGTGCGTAGATTGATAATTTTATTTTATTTATTTATTTTTTTTCTTTTACAGAAAGATGCACTTTACAGTTCTGAAGCTTTCCACAAAAATACTCAGACAGTTCTTCACAGTATCATAAGAGTTACACTTCAAACTGTTGAGAACGTTGAACTTTAGTGTTTAGTTTAGTTTAGTGACGGAGGACGTGGGCACCACCCCTTTACCATTATGATTAATTGGTTTAGCGCCACGTCCACCCTTATCTAAAGCTGACTCATGTTAGGGTCACAAACTTTAGTGTTTAACGAACCGAACTCACCCTGAACTAAACACCTGTTACTAAGAAACTTATGATCTTCCCGGTCTTATATAGTGTTCTTCCCTCCGCCAAGATGTTTCTAGTATCTTCCGCTTCTCGAAATTACTGAATGGCATGTGAGGGCCAGATACGATTTTATTCAGTTACCATACCAGTGACAGACCAAATGGTCGCTAAGTTTGCGACTTTCAGTGATTTATCGCCAAATTTGGCAACAAAATTAGTCGCCAAAATCGTCGCCAGCTTGACGATATCTCATCGATTTAGCGAGATAGTTAAATAAATTTGCTCCTGTATTCTTATTTTTTCAGCAGCTTCGCTTCTTTAGATTTTCACGATGCATTATACCCCCCCCCCCCACACACACAAAAAATAAACTTCAATTTCACATATAATTTCATGAAAATTATTTACATATGGTGTAAGGATCTTAAGTTTTACTAACGTTTATTTTATTTTAAATCTTTACTATCACTTCTTATTTTCTACTTCCGGCCAGAATTATAAGCGTGAAGGATTTTATGCAAAGTTTGTCTGGCGAACGCCAAGTATTTAAGTGTGGCCTTTTTGACAAGCGAAAGGGAGAGGAAGCAGTGAGTTCGAAGCAGGCCGCTTACCTTAGAAGTTACGCAGTTGCTATTTGCCTTCCAGGCCAGAGGTTTTAATCCTCTTGATAAATTAAACGTATTGTAGTGTTCACAGTCTCTGTGCTACATACGCTTCCTGTTATTATAAGGCCAATCTTCTTATTCTAAAGTTAAATTAGAGTTTAGTTTTATTTTGATATCTTTTAACGTTAGACCCCGAGTGGAGGGTCATTGTATTCCGAAGTACGGAAGTCATTGTATATAAAGAAAAAATAAAGGGTTTTGTATACCCTTCGTCTGTATCCTGTCTACTTACTACAATTAGTGAACATAGCTTTAGTAAGCTCTCTGTTCCTAGTCAGGTCATTGTATGTTTCCGAAGAAGGTTAGAAGAAACATTGAACCTGATAGTGGCGCCCGACGAAAGAATAACCATGGCCGAGTTTCAAGAAGAACCTGTGCTGCCTGCAGAAACGGCTCAGAATCCAGAAATGCCAGCTGCCGCCCTGGAAGGATTTGGGTACATCGTCCACCATGCGCGCTTCGATGAAACCAGAAGCAACGTTTAATGGAAACTCACAGGTAACCAGTTTTTTGGAAAAATTGGATGACCACTTCATGCTCTACCCCGTGCACGAGTTTCAAAAAGTTACCTTAGCTACCAGCGCTTTGAGGGGCCAAGCGCTTAACTGGTTCAAATGTATCGGCAGAAGTCTCTTGGGTCAAGCAGGAAGTCCCACCTATACTTACGAAAATTTCAAGACTGCCCTACTAAAAGCCTTCCCTGTTGTAAGGGATCGTGCGAAATTAGAAACAGAACTTTTCAGTATATATCAACAAAGAATGGAAAACCTCTCGAGCTTTATTTTAAGAAAAATTCACGTTTTCAAGCTCTTGTATGGAAACCGTCCGGATCCTGAAATAATTCAAGTGATTTTGCCGAGGTTACTACCCCAAGTGCAAGACTTTATTGAATTGAGAAATCCGACTACACTGGAAAAATTATTTGAGCTAGCAATCCAGTTTGAAAGTAGAAGAACGGCGGACGTCGAAAGAAGACGCCAATATCAACAGCGAAACCAATTTGGTACGCCAAGACTACAGCAAACTCAAGCACATGGCTACGGAGAAAAAAGCGAATCAGTGGGCAAGGAAACCCGAGCATTCAAAAACAGCCGGCGAACGTCGACAGTTCAATAGCAACCCAGGAAAAAAGTCTCAAGGCCAGTGGAGAAAGAAGGAAAGCACCGAAAGGAAAAATAATTTAAACTAAAACGGATTTCTGCTGACGAGAGGGTGCGGAAATCCGAAGGCCACGAAAACCCCTCTTCCTACAAGTTAAATACAGTAATGGTGAAAAATTTAACTCTTCCGAAGATTGAAGTCTTGGTAAATAATATCCCGGCCACCGCACTCCTGGATACCGGCGCGCAGTGTTCCTGTGTGGCAGAAGTCTTTTTTAGAAAGTATTTTCGCAAATACCGCATATATAATGCGGATAATACAACAGTATTAGCGGCGCAAGGAGAACAATGTAAGTGCGTAGGTAAAGTACCTTTGTACATCCGTATCAAGGACGAACAAGTAAAGGTGATGTTTTTTATAGTAAAGAATTTGCAAGCACACTTAATCCTAGGAATAGACTTTCTTTCAGACGCACAAGCTACACTGGATTTTAATGAAGCGTCCCTTAAGCTGACGATGAAACCAGTGCGTGTAGAAAAGGTTGAACCGCCAAGGTTAAATCTTGACCACCTGCCTAATGACGAGCAAGATAGAATCCGACAAGTGGTAAGTGAATTTGCTTCCTTATTTAGTGATATTCCAGGATTTACCTCAGGTTACTAACCATAGTATTGACACCGGAGATGCATTGCCGGTTCGTCAAAAACCATACCGGTATGATAAGAATAAGGAAAAAATTATAGAATGGCATATTACCGATATGCTACGTAAAAAGATCATAACGCCCATCTCAAGTAGTTATGCTAGTCCGGTGGTTTTATGTAAGAAAAATAATGATTATCCTTTGGAGCATCCAAAAAGGTGGAGATTCGCTATTGATTACCGTAAATTAAATTCCATAACGAAATATCCGGTATATCCGTTACCGATTCATAGAAGAAATTTTAAGGAACATAAAATCAACCAAATTTATGACGACTTTAGACTTAACGAATGGTTATTTTCAAATAGGGGTCAGGCCTGAGGACGTGCCTAAGACTGCTTTTATAACCAAGTCTGGCACTTATGCATTTTTGCGAATGCCGTTTGGCCTTTCAGGCGCCCCAGCAACATTTCAGCGATGCATGGACATGTGTGTTAAGACCTGTTCTTGGAAAGTCCACATTTATCTATTTAGACGATATCATTATTACTAGTGATAATCTCGACCAACATGT